TGAGAGGAGATCCACTGTCATGGAGGGGAGCGATGAGCACAATGTGTGTTGTCATTTCTTACTGGACTCTTCCGCACCAGGAAGTGCAGGCCCAGAATGTCCTCTCTGTGTGGGTAGCTGCCACCTCCACCCTCAAGATAAGATAAAGCTCGCTTCCTCCTGTGTAGTGGGTTGCTAAGGTGTGTGTTGTTTTCATGAGAAATGACTCACCAAAACAGAGCTATTCAGTTCCTTCTCGATTTTTTTTCTCCACTGTGAAATTTTTGGAATGATGCCTTATTTTATAACAAGTGGCCAGGATGACAGATTTGTCACGATGCCTCATTTCGGCCAGCGGGCACTCACTCTTCAAAAACTGGACTTTTGTTTCTTCTTGAATATAATTCTGCTTCTGAAAGCGCCACTCCCGTTACTGCCCTGGTGACCAATGGCATCATCACTTATGTTGGGGGTGTCATTGCTCTGGGGCATTTTGCAAAATAGTCAAAGAAGCACATTTGTCATAAAAACAGACTTCTAAGCAGAAGTGAAGTTTAGTTTATTGCTTAACACAGTTTTTGGGGGAAAAAAAAAAGGATGTTTGAGAACAATGGTTGAAATTTGCTGGTTAGGCGGAATTCCTGAGCATGGCAAAGTGACCCAGTATGGGTCACCAGAATAGCATTAACACATTAGAAAATATCCACTTGCCCTGGCAGAGGAGTCTTCTTGCTTGAGAGCTGCCCAGATAACCCACGGGACAGCTTTCTAGAACAATTGTTTCTTTCTCATAGTAATAAAATACAAAGTTTCCTTCAGACATTTTGCCCTACATCTGTTTTCCTTTCTTCTTTTGTACAGGTGATAAATAAAGCAGCTGCTAATCAAGTCCTGAGGTCTCAGCATGACCCAGAATATGTTTTTCAGCTGCCATTAAGTAATCTTTATGAACGGATATGATCTCACACATTGCCATTTAAAGGGCATGTGAAATGTCCTCACTTCCCATGGGTGTTCAGGGATGTGCTTTGAAAATATCTATCATTTTTAAACACTTTTTTATTATATATTTAAATTAGAAACAAGCTTGCTTCCCATGTCAGTCCCAGCTCCCTCTCCCTCCCCTCCACGCCCATTCCCTCCCCCCAGTCCGCCACCCAATCCCCACTCCATTCCCCAGGGAGGGTAAGGCCCTCCATGGGGGATCTCTAGCGTCTGCTATTTCTTTCCAGGGAGGGCCTAGGTCCTCCCCCAAGTGTCCAGATTGAGAAAGCATTCCTCATTGTAAGATGGACACCCAAAGTTCATTTGTGTGCCAGGGATAAACACTGATCTACTACCCAAAGCCCCATTTTTTTAATCAACATTTCTCTGGTTTCCAGTGAGACTGCACACCTCGTCATGTGCCTGGCAGCATATAAACATATAAACTTATTTTCCCATGAACCTTCATATTTATTTTCTTATGATAAGCTCTAGAGAGCCTTTACCCAGAGTTGACTAAATATGATTTTTATTCGTTGTTAAATCTACTTCCTATGCTTCTAATATTCTTATTTTTAATCTGCATGGGTAGCAATAATGTGTTTTCCAAAAAAAAAAATGAATGTTCCGCTGCTCTAATGTCACTAGTAAATTGTGGCGACATTATTTATGATTTATTGAAGCTTGCCTGAGGATTCAGAAAGCAAAGTCAGCCTCAAGATACAGAGATCAGGCAGTGGTGATACACACCTTTAGTCCCAGAAGTCAGAAGCTAGGAGGTGGTGGCACATACTTTAATGCTAGGACTCAGGATTAAGAGGTAGACAGGTCTCTGTGAGTCCAAGGCCACCCAGACATACACAAGATTGATCCAGTCCTAAAGAGAAAAGGCTCACACAAAGATGACCTCAGCACCTGGAATCACATGCCTTGAATCCCAGCACTAAAGGGGTATAAAAGATAAGAGCAGGGTCTTCAGTAGTCAGGATCAGCCATTCATTCTCCAGCCACATTGGGGATAGGAGGATGACATCAAAATCTCAGGATTCTCCAGCCATGCTGAGGAGAGGTTACAGTCTGAGGTTTGGTGGAGCCAGGATTGCATTTCAGTCTGAGGTAGAGTGAAAGCTAGTGCCCAGTTGCTTTGCTTTTCTGATTTTCAGTTTGGAGTTTGAATCCCAATATCACTCCTGGGTCTTTTATTTATCACGATAGAGTAAATAGTTGATCTCCACTAATTTGAATGCTTATGTGTATGACGCCATCTGGTGGAGCATGGTCAACCAACCAGCAGCTACATTCCTGAAGTTGAAGGGTTCCTGATGTCCCTCCCAGTAACCATAAACTGCCAGTAGCTCCCCAGCTAGGCATAGTGACTCTCGGGCCCCTCCCCTATCTGTACTAGAATGTTCACTGATGAGTTTTTCTTTTAGGTCTGTGCAGCTAACTACAACCTCTCTGAGTTCATGAACACTACTGCCTTCCTTCCCACCCTCTGGGTCATACATTCTTTCTACCTCCTCTTCCACGATGTTCACTGAATCTGCGAGGGTGTGGTATAAATGTCCCATTTAAGGCTGAGAATTCTGCAGTCAATTTTTCTTTGACAAGTTAAGAGTCTCTGTGTTGAGAGCTGCCCACTGTACAAAGACGTCTCTCTGGCTAAAGTTGGCATCACTCTATGGGTATAAACAAAAATATTTAGAAGGCTAGTTGACATTATGTCCACTTAGTGAAACAACAGTTGTAGGAAAACTGCCGTCCCCCAGGGTCTATGACGTCCCCAGCCATGGATTATTGGTCAAGTTCATTATATCACATATGGTTTCCTCCTGTGGAGCAGTCCTCAAAGCCAATCAGAAAGTGGTCTGTTACCCCCCATAACAGCCATGCCACTATTATACCAGTAGGCACATCTTGTTTGGCAAGGTCAGCATGCAAGGTTCACTGCTGGGTAAATCCATTAATAATAACTTTTCCCCAACATAGCACTTTCTGGTACTGCGAACCAGACCTAGCTTTTGTGTGGGCTCTTGAGATCCAAACTCTGGGCACCATGTTTGTTTGGAAGACACTTAACCAACTAAACCAGTTTATATCCTCATAGTGCATCCCATGACCAATCATAGGGTACAAAGCATGGGGGAAGTTGTCTTTATGGATCAGACTCGGAAATGGTGCATTTTCAGCAGCTTGGATCTCAGTTTCCTCGTTAGGTTCGATCTCAATTATATGAGATAATTGAAAGTTAGATACATAATTGATTTATTGAGTGAGAAACTCACTAATGTATAGATAGGTATAGATACAGACCTACGTGCTGTTTGCTAATATGAAAGGACAAATAAAAATGGAAATGTGGTGGCGCACACCTTTAATCCCAGCACTTGGTATGCAGAGGCAGGCGGATCTCTGTGAGTTTGAGGCCGGGCTGGACCGACAGCCTCCAAAACAATACAGAGAAACCCTGTGTCGTAAAAACCAAAAAAAAATGGAAATGAGTTCATGCAAAGGAAGATCTTAGATGTTACCAAGCACAGAATTCTGAAATAGATCAGTCACTGGTGTTTCCTTCCTCCTCAGGGTGTCTGGGTGTTCCAGAGAGTTTTAATTGGTCTAATTGTTTTCTAAGGTCATCAAACCTCGATGATTTCCTGAAACAATATTTCCTTTCTAGCCAGGTGTAGTGACCTGTCTGTAATCCTAGCATTTGGGATGCAGAGACTGGAGAATCATGAGTTAAAGGCTAGCCTCAGCTACATGGTATTCTAGGAGCAAACCTGAGCTTCATTATACCCTGTTTTAAGGGAAAAGTATTTCCTTTTATGAAAATAGTTTGGGGGGGGGAATGTCTTACACCCTGGTGGTGAGAATTTAAAATCATGCAGCCATCACAGAATATGGTAGTCCCCTCAATATAGTAGAGATAAAGCTGCCAGATGACCTAGTAATTCCATCACTGGTTATGTGAATACGCAGAAAATAAAATCAATATGTTGAGGAGACATCAGCATTCTAATACTTACTGTGGCATTATTCAAAGTAGCTAGCATAGAGAATCAACCTAGACATCAGTTCATAAATTGAAGAATGGATAAAGAAAACACGGTGGATATACACAATGGAACATTAGTCAGCTATTATAAAGGAACTAAAGAGTATCATTTGTGGCTGTGTGGATGCAATCAGAGTACGATGTGTTAAGCAAAACAAGTCAGAGACAGAGAGGCAAACCCTTATTGCTCTCACATGCGTGTGCATACCTAGAAAGCCAACTTCATAGAAGTGATTAGTATGCCAGATGCCTGGGGGGAGTGGGTAGGGAATAAAGACAGTATGGCTAAGCCATACATATGTGTGATTAAGTAGAAAGAATAACTTCTAATGCCCTGTGGGATAACCAGGTACTTCTGGATGACAACAACAAAATGTACATTTGAAATAGCTAGGGGAGAGGATTGTGAATATCCCCAGAACAAAGAAAGATAGATATCTGAGATTATGGTTATGTAGATATCTTTATCTAATCATCATATATTATTAAATACATGCACTAGCCAGATGGTGGTGGTGATGTATGTCTTTAATCCCAGCACTTGGGAGCCAGAGGCAGGTGGATCTCTGTGAGTTTGAGGCCAGCCTGAGTTCCAGGACAGCCAGGGCTACACAGAGAAACCCTGTCTCAGAAAGAAAAAAAATGCACTAAAATACCTCACCATGGCCTCTATTCATGCATATAAATGTATTATGTGTCAATCAAAACTAACTTTAATTAAAAAGAAAAGAAGGAAGAGAAACTAAAGAAGAGGTTATTCTCCTGAGCTTCCTTCCATATGGGATTTTTGGCAATCATAGCGGTCAGTACTGTTTTTCCTGGTGCTTAGGATGCTGCACCAAGGACAGCAACCACAGCCTATCACTGCTTCCATGGAGTATGACTCTACCAGGATCTTCAGTGAACACTCACTAAACTCCTCATTGTTCTCTCCCAGGATCCCCAATGAACACTCACCAAGCTCCTCATTGTTCTCTTCCAGGATCTCCAACGAACACTCACCCAAACTCCAGATCCGGAGTCACAGTTACCTGAGGGCAGTAAGTGAAGTCTCCATCAACAGAAGCCTGGACAGCCTTGACCCCGCAGGCTTGCTCACGTCACCAAAGTTCCGCTCCAGAAATGAGAGCTACATGCGAGCCATGAGCACCATCAGCCAGGTAAGAGCCATCAGAGCCTCAGGGGCCGTGAGCCATTCATTATCAGTGAGAACAGGAAGTACAGCTGATGCTGCAGTGTAGGCCACATGATCAACCAGCAAACTCCTGGTCTTGATGGTCTACTAGGAGAAGAGTAGCCCTTTGCAGGTGAACCGGGTACAAGGAAGGAATCCTGGGAAATTCATTAACCTACCATGTAGGTACCATTCAAGTTTCAGGATGGTATTGGTAGAGGAGGCTTCCGCTGCAGAGTTGCTTGAGGGGGGGTCCGTGCCTAGGGCAGACATCACCGGCAAAACCCTAGTCATAAAAGTACTACAGTTTAGAGTGGGCATTAGTGAATTTAAAATTTTTGCGAAGCTGGGTGTAGTGGCACACGGAGATTTGATCCTACACTCAGGAGGCAGAGAAAGCCAGATCTCTGTGAGTTCCGGGCCAGTCAGAGCTAGATAGTAAAACCCTATCTCCAAAGCAGATTAGTAAAACTGTGAAAAAAATGTGTGCACATTTATGAACTTCATAACCTCAATGTGTTTAGAAGAAGGGGACATGTCATGTCCCTCAGCAGGACACTGCTGTGCAGCTGGATGTTTCAGGTCCCTGTGCTGTGAGTACGACCTTCCTTGGGACATCACTCCCCAATGACGGCCAAGTAAGATATCAGACCTGGAAAAGTCTAATGCTGTCTTCGAGTCAAGTGCCACAATTCCACGGTGTAGTCATTTGGCCTTAAGAGAAAAAAAATAACAGAAAGAATGGTCATCCTTAATGGAGTTCTAATGACACATCATTTTTCAAGCACCATATTCAACTTTCAAATAACACAGTGTCTTTAAGGACAATTTCAACCTTCCTATTACAGTTGCAATGGTGTCATTATTCAGAGAACAGTTTCTTCTTCAAAGTCACTGAACCATACACACTGACTTTTCTAAAAGAAGATGATTTTGTGAGTTAGTCTTGTAGAATATTATATATATATATATGTAGAAGAATAGTGTCGAATTTAAGCACATTATACTCTGTTCCCATTTAAAATCTGACATTATTCACCAAAGGCTCCGAAGAGGGATCCAAGTAAAATGTTATAAACCAAGGAATTAGACTCAAATGTGTAACGTTTAGTCTTCCTACCCACCACCTGGTTCCTGTTGCTGCTTTCAGCCCCCAAATAACACACAGGACACTATAATAATTATGAAGCTGTTGGCCGTTTGCTTGGTTTCTTATAGGCTAGCTCTGATTTGATTATTAACTCATAATTTTATAAGAACTTACCTTTTTGAGGACACACTCCTGAGCTCCTGTTGCTCCCGGAGATCACATGACAAGAGCTCTTCTCACCACAATTCCCAGAATCCTCCTCGACTCCTAGTCCCACCTATCTTGTTTCCCTATTGGCCAACAGTGCTTTATTCAAACCAATCAGACACATATTTACAGAATGACATCTCCCAACACAAGTGAACTTCTTAAACTTTTTGAACATATGATCCCTTTATGCTTAAAATTTTTTATGCAACTCCACATATACAGGTATATAAAATAAGTGTACAATTTTACTGGTGATAAAGCATAAATTTACACTAAAGCAATTCTTTGATATACGTATAATTGTAGTGTTTATTAAAGATAAAAGTGAGTTGCCATGCTAAAGATACTATAAAGAATTCAATCCTGCAGGCAGTCATGGTGCACACCTTTAATTCCAGCACTTTGGATGCAGAAGCAGGTGGATCTCTGTGAGTTTAAGGCCAGCCTGGTCTACAGAGTGAAACCTCAATCCTGGCTGAATATTTGATAGGAAGGCCAATAGTATATTCAGTGTTTTTCAGAGTGTGTCACCATCTGTGCTGAGAATGCTACTTGCAGAAGTAGTTTTAAGGCCACTTAAGAAAGTGTCCCAACTGCAAGCCAAAAACCACTAAACAAATTATGAAACTCAAATAATGACATTTAAAATAAAATTTCCTAACACAATATGATCTAAAGATACACTAAGTTGACACTTACATACTGAGAACTGACTTCCACAAGGTTTCTTCTGACCACACGCACACTCTGGCATGCACACCCACACACATAACACATACACGCACATAAATATATATGCACATAAATGTAACTTAGTTTTTTAAGCAGGTAATGTGTTAGAGGCTGGGGATGTCTATTATAATGAGAGTGTCTGCCTAGCATACAGGAGTCCCTGGGTTTGATCCCTTCAAAACTTATGTATCAGATTGTTTTCAATGAATAAACCTTAGGGTCCAGAGATTCACACTTGGGTGAAAAAAAAAACTTTTAAAATTGGATAAAGTAGAAGTTAGACATGGGATTATTGTTAAGATATGGATGTGGAGGGCTGTAGGGTGGCTTGGGAATGTGCATTCTTGATTTTGTTAGTATTTCCAAGGATATTTGGTTATTATTACCTGTTAAGTCAGACATTTATTTCCTTTGGTTTTCTATGTCTTTGTAAGAAAAAGAACAACCCTATTAAGAATGCATGGTTAGCCTAGATGGTTCAGTAAAATAAAGACAAGTTACAGAATACAGAATTGTGTTTGCTGTATGATTCAGGTTTTATTAAAACTAGGAAATGTGTATAAACCCTCTGAAAAGGTAGATGACCAAGGTGAATGCCTGCAACCTTAACAAGGATGGATATTTCACTGTTCCTTTGTGATGTTTGTTACAGAAATAGTTGAGAGGAAAAAAATAAATAAGTTATACTTATGAGCACATGCGTGGATAAGTTGCTTTGAAATTATTTCAAACTTGAATGAATCACATATAAAATAAACAAACCCTGATGGATTTTAAACTTGGATTCTGACTCAATGACTAAGCCAGAGAGGTGACTCTGCAAATAATGGTACTTGCCACCAAGACCGATAACCTGAGTTTGATACCTAGATCCACGTGGCAGAGAGAATCAAATCTGACAAGTTATTCTCTGACCTCCACAGACACACACACACACTTTATTTTTTAAAAATGTTCAGAGAGCTAAAGAAATGGCTTAGCATTTAGGAATACTTGATGTTCAACTGTAAGAGGCCAGAGCTTGAATCCCAAAACCCATGTAAGGAGCCTTGCAATCTGAACAAGTATGTATCCATAGCTCTGAACTGAAAAAAATTATAGGAGGATATCTGGGGCTTGCTGGTGTACACCCTAGCTAAGAAAACAACAGTACTAGATTCAGAGAGAGACACCCCCCCTCGCCTCAAAGGAATAGGCAGATAATTCAGTGTGTAGCCTTGAGCTCACCTGCCTCTACTTAAGGCATGTGCCATGATATTAGGCTAAAATATGTTGTTGTTGTTGTTGTTGTTGTTTAATTATCTTTTTTTCTTGAAAGAGGGTCTTACTTCAAAGATCTTCATGAATATATTTGTAAAGAGTTTATGGATAAGGACAGCCTAGTGGTTCACACCTTTAATCCCAGCACTCCAGAGGCAAAGGCAGGAGGATCTCTGTGAGTTCAAGGCCAGACTAGTCTGTATAGAGAGCTTCCGGACATCCAGGATTACATTAAAAACCTAAAAGCCTCCTATCTCAAAAAAAGAAGTTAATTAATTTTTTTATGAAACGTGAAACCTATAAATACTTTGAAATCTTGATCTTGCTTTTTAAGATTTTGACGTATCTAGGTTTGGCCTATTTTAATACAGAATATATCTTGCAAAACAAAATAAAATAATGTATGTTCCTTGAAATTATTTGATGAACTAGACACTTCAGAAGGCAAAGTAAAATAGTTTACAAAAATAGTAGTTGCTAAAAAGTTACACTGAAATACATGAACCATGACCACAAACCAATAAATTGGCTCTCTAGACTCCCATTTATAAATAAGGAAGGGGATAGAGAACACATCCTACTGATGAAATGTTTACCCAAGCAAGAGGCCCTGGCTTCCATCCCCAGCAATGCAAAATAAAAGCAAGCTAATTGGAAACAGTAAATAGCATTATCAAGAAGGCATTGGGGAAAAGTTTCCTTCCCATCCTGCATTTCTTCACTGCTCCAGAAACAAAGATCTCCTTTGGGAGTGGAGGCAGAGGGAACACGCACAGAATATGCAGGTGTGTGTTCCAGAGCAAGAGGTAGGCGTCCTCCTCTATTTTGACGTATTCCACTTCGTGTTTTGAAGCGAGGTCTCTCACTGAAATTGGAGCTCCCAGGTTGGCTAGGCTGGCTGACCCATGAGCTATCAGGATTTTCCTGTCTCTGCTGTCCAATGCTTTCCCAACACTTCCGTTTACAGGCACATGTTAACCCTGGATAGTGATTTGAAAGAAAATGGTCCCCAAAGGGAGTGGCACTAATAGGAGGCGTGAAGTGGGTGTGGCCTTGTAGGAGGAAGTGAGTCACCGTGGAGGCGGGCTTTGAGGGCTCATATATGCTCAAACCACACCCAGTGTCTCAATTCACTTCCTATTGTCTGCAAGTAGAACTCTCAGCTACCTCTCTAGCACAGCGTCCTCTGTCCCGCCAACATGTCCCACCCTGATGATACTGGAGTGAACCTCTGAGACTGTAAGCCACCATCTCAATTAAATATTTTCCTTTATGAGAGTTGCCCTGGTCATGGTGGCTCTTCACAGCAAAGAAACCCTCAGGCGCTCTCCTTTTCGATATAGGTACCAGGAATCCAAACTCAGGTCCTCCGGCTTGCAAAGCAAGACTTCTTGCACGCTGAGATATCTCCCCAGCCCCGAAGTTCTCATCCTTAAAAATGTCTATTATATTATCAGCTAGCTGCCACTGACTTACAATCTGTGGCATAAAGGAAATAACACACATTGGAATGATAACTGCTGCTCTTATGGGGAGTGAAGTTTCCAGATACTGGGAGGGAGCTGTTGGAGCCAGCCAGGTGTTGACCATCGCGTGTCTGCCGGCAGGTGAGCGAGATGGAGGTGAACGGGCAGTTCGAATCCGTGTGTGAGTCCGTGTTCAGCGAGCTGGAGTCGCAGGCTGTGGAGGCTCTGGACCTGCCCATGCCTGGCTGCTTCCGCATGCGCAGCCACAGCTACGTGCGGGCCATCGAGAAGGGCTGCTCCCAGGACGACGAGTGCGTGTCGCTGAGGTCGTCCTCGCCTCCACGCACAACCACCACCGTGAGGACCATCCAGAGCAGCACCGGTGAGTGAGCGAGCCGGGAGCCCCAGCCTGGGCGCAGCTGCTGTCCAGGAATTTGGGTGGCTTCGCTGTGGCCGCTTGGTCGACAGTAACAAATGCCATCTGTGTCCCACACAGAAAAAGAGTTTCCTTACTTGACCCGACCTACTCCTCCCCGTCATGCTCACATGCTCTTCCCTCCATCATCATGCTAAAAATTCACAACTACAGCTTATGGTCAGGGGGAGACAGTCCGACATAGTCTCATTGGTACTCCCTACTCGGACTCCAAATAGGTAAGCCCTGGGCTGAGACTAACCAAAAACACCTGCTTCTTGGATTCAGCCTGAGTCCTTTTTATTCCAAGGTGGCCGTGGTGTGACTCTTCCAGGAGACCTAAAATATCCGGTTAAAATTTTTAAAAAGAACAAGGAGAAGAAGAAAAATGGGCATAATAGCAACATTGACTAGGAGTTTATGAATTTTATTACAACAACAACAAAAAGACTTGTTTCATTGGTTTAAGTCATGCCATATATAAACAGTTCCTCCCTCTAAACTGTGGTTTCTGCAGAGAAACTGTGTTTTTATGGGCATATTTTTAGGAGCAGGGGCATGGGGAAGCTTGACTAGTTTCCATGGAACTAGAATGTGCATAGTAACGCAGTCTCGCACTATGTGAGGCTAGATTAACAATTGAGCAACCAAGAAGGAAAAAAAATCCCTCCATCTTAACCAGGTTTAGCTTTATGACTGAATTCAGCCTGACTCCCATAAAGTGATTCCACGAGAATACCATCAAACTTAAAGAGCCTAGATAAATAATGATGAGTAAATTAGAAACGCCTACACCAGGACACGGTATCAGTAAATGGTGATGAGTAAACTAGAAACGCCTGTACCAGGTTATCGGATTACCCTGTGCTAGCACTAGGGGCATCAGTGTCAGCGTTAGCCTGGCCTGGTGAAGCAGGCCTGTAATTCCATTCCTCAGGGGGGCTGAGGCAGGAGGATTGTGAATCTGAGTCAAACACTTCAGACTGAAACCTGTCTCAAAAAAAAAATAATAATCAGAGAAATGATCATTCATTCTAGAAGTTTTGAAGGCTTGAGTGGTAAATCCTCGAAAACCCCTACTAACTAGAGATAAACGACTGAGGTAAGAATTTGTAAACTTCCGTAGAAGTCCTGAGCAAAGATTTCTGGCCACGGCAAACTGAGAAATGTTTCTAAGCACAGTCGTGTCCAGACCAAAGACAGTGGACGAGATACACCTTTCTTGGTAGGATATCCCCGAGGGCAGCGTCAGACAAGGCTAATGAAATAAAGGTGACTCCTGAAGCGTCCGAAATAACGTCCTTTAACGATCCATCACAGAATATCCTGTGTGTCTCAGGTCGTGCCATACATGCGGTTTTGAAGGTCTGCGCTCTGCTGGGGCGCGTCGACGTGCGCCTTGCTCGTGGTTGCGCACCCTCCACCCTCGCCCTCCAAACAACCCTTCCCTGGTGCTGGGCTCATTTCCTCTCTGCCCATTGCACTGCCTGCCAGCCAGAGTTGTTCCTTCAATACAAGTGATGCAGACAGAGAGCATGGCCCACTTGGGCCTGGGAGGAACGGTGGAAGGAGAGGCTCTGCGGGATGCTCCTCCCACGCCCGGGGAGAGGTGCGGAAATAAAGCGGAAGGGACCATCTGACTGGCTGTGCCCTTCTCGCCTCTCAGAACGTGTGTGGCTTTTATCACTAACAGGCAGTGTGACTTGCACACTCCGGGGCAGTTCTCCTCAGCTCCTCGCACTCACTGCTGACCCTGCCACCAACACTCTCTCTCTCTCTCTCTCTCTCTCTCTCTCTCTCTCTCTCTCTCTCTCTCTCTCTCTCTCTCTCTCTCTCTCTCTCTCTCTCTCTCTCTCTCTCTCTCTCTCTCTCTCTCCCTCTCTCCTCTCTCCCTCTCTCCCTCTCTCCCTCTCTCCCTCCCTCCCTCCCTCCCTCCCTCCCTCCCTCCCTCCCTCTCTCTCTCTCTCTCTCTCTCTCTCTCTCTCTCTCTCTCTCTCTCCCTCTCTCCCTCTCCCTCCCTCCCTCCCTCCCTGAAGAGTTCAGACAATAAGGTTGCCAAATAAAATCCAGGCTTGCCAGTTAATCCCCAGGTAAATAGTGAGCAATGTGTAAGAAACCCAGATGTTGGACCGGAAAAGAAACCGGACTCTGGGGTCTTGTGATACTGAATGAGTGTAACTCTATAAACAAAACATGTAAGGCTCTTGTTGGGACGTCCATTCGCTGGCTGACTTCTGCCAGGTGGCCCCGAGGTGATCAGGCCGTTTGCTTGGACAAAGAAGTGTCAGGCTTTTGTTAATTTTTTTATTTCTTTTATTATTTAAAGTCTTTTTTGTTTGTTTTTTTACATTCCAGTCCCAGTTCCCCTCCCTCCTCTTCTTCCCGTTCTCCCCACTTCCCCCCCCAACCCTCCTCCCAGCTGCTCCTCGGAGAGGGTAAAGCCTCCCCTAGGAAGTCTACTGAGTCTGTCCCATCATCCCATTGAGGCAGGACCAAGGCACCTCTCCATCACCACACCCGTGTGTCTAGGCTGGACAAGGTGCCTCTCCATATCGAATGGGCTCCACTGAGTCAGTTTGTGCATTAGTGTTAGATCTTGGACCCACTGCCATTGGCCTCATATATTGTCCCAGTCACACCGTTGTCACCTATATTAAGGGAGTCTAGTTCAGTCTTATGCAGGTTCCCCATTTGTTAGACCTGAGACAGTGTGATCTCTCACTAGCTCGGGTCAGCTGATTCTGTGGGTTTCTCCATCATAATCTTGACCCCTTTGTTCATATTATTGCTCCTCCCTCACCCAATAGTTGTGGATTTCTGCATCTGCTTCTGGAAGAGGGTTCAAACTTCTCTGGGGTTGTGGATTGTAGGTTGGGTATCTTGCTTTGTGACTAATATCCACTTATGAGTGAATACATACTATATTTGTCTTCATAGGTCTGGGTCACCTCACTCAGGATGTGTTTTGTTTTCTTCTAGTTCCTTTCCATTTGCCTGCAAATTTTGAGATGTCATTGTTTCTTACTGCTGAATAGTACTCTATTGTGTAAATGTACCACCTTTTCTTTATCCATTCTTCAAGTGAGAGGCATCTAGGTTGTTTCCAAGTTCTGGCTATTAGGAATAATGTTGCTATGAACATAGTTGAGCAAATGTCCTTGTGATGTAAATATGCCCCCTTTAGGTATATGCCTAAGAGTGGACTTGCTGGATCTTGAGGAAGACGAATTCCCTTTTTTCTGAGAAACCGCTGTGCTGATTTCCAAAGTGGCTGTACAAACTTGCACTCCCAGCAGCAATGGAGGAGTGTTCCCCTTTCTCCACATCCTCTTCAGCATAAGCTGTCACTGATGTCTTTGATCTTAGCCATTCTGATCAGTGAAAGATGGAATCTCAGAGTGATTTTGATTTGCGTTTCCCTGGTGACTAAGGATGTTGAGCCTTTCCTTAAGTGTCTTTCTGCCATTTGAGATTGTTCTGATGAGAATTCTCTGTTTAGATTTGTACCCCATTTTTAATTGGATTATCTGGCAGTTGATGTCTAGTTTCTTAAGTTCTTTGTATATTTTGGAGATCAGTCCTCTGTCAGATGTGGGGTTGGTGAAGATCTTTTCCCATTCTGTAGGGAGTTGTTTGTCTCATTGACCATAATCTTTGCTTTACAGAAGCTTCTCAGTTTCAGGAGGTCCCATTCATTAATTGCTGCTCTCAGTGTCTGTGCTACTGGTGTTCTATTTAAGAAAATGGTCTCCTGTGCCTATGTATTCAAGTGTATTTCCTACTTTTTCTTCTGTGAGGTTCAGTATGGATGGATTTATATTGGGGTCTTTGATCCATTTGGAGTTTTGTGCATGGTGATAGATATGGATCTATTTGCATTCTTATGTTGACAGCCAGTTATACCAGCACCATTTGTTGAATATGCTTTCTTTTATCCATTGTATATTTTTAGCTTCTTTGTCAAAAAAATTAGGTGTTCATAGGTGTGTGGACTGATATCAGGGTCTTTGATTTGATTCCATTGGTCCACATGTCTGTTTTTGTGCCAATACCAAGCTGTTTTCACTATTGTAGCTCTATTACTGTAGAGCGTGAAGTAAGGGATGGTGATGCCCCCAGATGATCCTTTATTGTCCAGGATTATTTGGGTTATCCTGGGTTTTTTTGTTTTTCCATATGAAGTTGAGTGTTCTTTTAAGGTCTGTGAAGAATTGTGCTGGGATTTTTATGGGGATTGCATTGAATCTGTAGATTGCTTTTGTGTAATTTAAGGAAAGAAGCACTCACAAAAAAAGATGTCTTGGGACGTGGTTCAAGCAGGGTTTTTTTTTAATTAGGGAAAGGGATCATAAAAGGGAAAAAGGGAAGGGGGAAGACCAGCCTCCAGGGACAGGAGCAGTAGGAGAGAAGAGAAAGGAAAGAGGGGGAGAGAGGAGAGAGAAAAGAGAGAGGGGAGAGAGAGAAAAGGATGGGAGGTGGGTAGGGACCTTTTAAAGGGGAACATAGTGAATGTGCACAGGTGGTGCTCTTAGTGACTGCAGTTGGGGAAGTATCCTGTCAGAACCCCAAGGGCAGACAAATACAGATGCCTGAATACTAAAAACTTTTGGCAGGATTGCCATTTTTACTATGTTGCCCCTATCTATCCAAGAGCATGGGAGATCTTTCCGTTTTCTGATACCTTCTTTAATTTCTTTCTTTAAAGACTTAAAGTTCTTGCCATACAGATCTTTCACTTGTTTGGAGTTACTTCAAGATATTTTATGTTATTTGTGGCTATTGTCAAGGATGATGTTTCTCTGATTTCTTTCTCAGCCCATTTATCACCTGTATATAGGAGGGCTACTGATTTTTTTTCATTTACTCTTGTATCCTGCTACCTTACTGAAGGTGTTTATTGATGGTAGGAGTTCCCTGGTAGAATTTTTGGGGTCGCTTATGTAAACTGTCATCAAATAGTGAGAGTT